GCTAAGAATCCAAAGCCCTAGTTACGGTAAACACAGATGTATCAGAGTGAAAAAAAAATCCTGTATTATTAATTAGATTTAAGAGTACTCTTTCTTGTGTTGATTTATGATATGACTTGCAACATATCTATGTAGAGTACTCTTTCTTCATCCGACTTGCTAGGGTTTTTCTTACCTTCACCGTTTACCTAGAAAGAAAAGGAATTTTCTAGGAGGAAATATTTCTCAACGACGTTAATAAAATTAATAAAGATACATTTTTTCTTAAAATTGGAATTTAGTTGATTAACGAAAGTAAAAAAGGAAACTTTACGGAAACCAAATGCAAAATGAAAACCGGAAGAACCAATTGCATTAACCGGTATTGACTCGAGTCGTCGTATAACCGATAATTTGAAATCTTTAATGTAAGAATTAGCATGGGTATTTTCGTAACACCAGAAGAATAAGACAGAGGTATTTTCGTGACTTCAAATAAGAGTATTGTAATTAAATTGCTTTTGTCTCCCATGAATTGCTTTGGTCAGGTTTTTGGCTTAGAGGGTTTCCTCTTTCCTAAACGAGCAAATCACGCTACCAGATATAGTCCTCGCTTCAAAGTATTCGATGAAAGCTCAATCAGCCTACTTGGAAGATTGCTGAACCCGGACTGTCAATCAATGGCTAGGATGATCGAGGACATGCCTAGTGTGTGGAGGTTTTCAACCGCATCAGAGGTATATATATAGCTCTATCACGCGAAAGGTTTCATCCATCTTCTCATCTTCCAAAGGGAAGAGGACCTGCAGATGCTTCTTAATAATAGGCCTTGGTCTTACAACCACTCGACGATGGTGATGAAGAAGAAAAACCAGAAGCAAATTCTTCATCAGGACACTCTTGTTTCGTCACAGCACATGTCACACGTTATAGCCTCTTCAAGGATCGTTTGGTGACCTCTTCACTCCATTTTAGCTTCTTTTTTTTTTTGTAACATTCAAGAGTCCAATACTATGTGTGATTCACCACGAGTAACCTCTTGATGATGTTTTTTTCAGGATCTTTCTCGAAATTTTACGGTGTCGTTTGGTGAGCACAACAAAACAAGCGAGATAGATCTAGTCAATGAGCAAGGAAGAAGATGGACTCTGGTTATTGCGAAAAAACAGCTCAAGTGGTGTGTTTTACATTAGACGAGGCTGGACAAACTTATGCTCTATTAACATGTATAGAACCATTGGTTTAGTTTCTTTTCGCTAAATCATTTGGTATCGGTTAGGATAGATTTCCAGTTTAATATGGTTTAGTTCAGATGTATATAATACACGTAAATGACTTCATTGTAATTAAGAGAGTAATGAGAATCATTTCTTCACAAACTTTTCTCTCTAGATTGTCTCTTCTAATATGGTATTAGAGATTTTCTAAGCTCGTTTTACTCTGATTTCTTCGTTTTTCCTTTGATTCTCTTCGTTTTCGTGTTCAATTCACCGATCGATTGCTTACTCGAACCTTGATCTGAGTTTTATTCGAATTTGTTTCGTCACTTTATGCTATCAGAGGTGTTAGCAACGTTTTCCGGCTCCGATCTTGTTGAATCAGTATCACGATGGTGAGGCTTGGTAGAAAATTGAGGAATCGTGTTGAGGAATTCGAAACATCGGCTCGCAAGGAGAGATCTGGCTCCAATGATCCGATCGCTTCTGAGATTGCGATTACGAAGCCACAAGTGGTAACGGCTCGAGGTAATATTGGATCTATGTTCTCTGGAAT